CTTTAATAAAATTTCATCAGTATATAGACTACTGCCTCTAACCATGCACAGGCATCTCTCTCAAAATCAGTAACTAAACAATTTGCAAACAATCTATACAACCTTGCCATGTGACAGCACCATAAAGTTAATAAGATTTTTAAAATCAGCCCTTCAAATGTATGTCCATCCGTAAATAGTTCACTTCTCTTATCCTCTAAAAGACCTGGTCAGACTGGAATATGGAGGTACTCCGAGCTCTTAGATTTTTTTTTTTTTTTTAAGTTAAAGGATCATAAATAAGTTCAAAGTTCTCTTCGGAACCCTGAAAGGAATAGGGATATTTTAACAGTGCAGGTAAAACAAGTGATGAAATAAATGAGAATCACTCAGGCTGTGGAGGGCAGGGTGCTACAGAGAAGAGGCACGTATGCATTTGTGTGTGTGTGTGTGTGTGTGTGGTACGCGGGCCTCTCACTGTTGTGGCCTCTCCCATTGCAGAGCACAGGCTCCGGACGCGCAGGCTCAGAGGCCATGGCTCACAGGCCTAGCTGCTCCGCGGCAAGTGGGATCTTCCCGGACCGCGGCACGAACCCGTGTCCCCTGCATCGGCAGGCGGACTCTCAACCACTGCGCCACCAGGGAAGCCCACGTATGGCTTTTTATAACCATATTCCCTTCCTCTTCCTTTTTCAAATCCACCACCTCCCTCACACCTTCGGCCCCATCCTTTTCATTTCTACTTTTAAACTGCTGATATAAAACACTACTTTTGATTTAATAACAAAAACATAATGGCCAATGAAGTCATATTTTTAAATTACTTAACTGGATTGGCAGGGGTTTATTAAAGTAGCTAAGCGCACTCTGTATTTGTTACAAACACATTATAGTCATATTTATAGTGACTATAAATAGTCACTATAATAGTCAATATTCCTCACATCCAATTTTCTAAGCCAAATGGTACCACTACCTCCATTTCAGATGACCCTCAAGTCCAGGAAAATTTCCCTTTGCTGTCAGACTATGGGACACTAACATTAAGAGCTAGCATTAGGTCTCAAAAATAGGGTGAAATTGTAGGGTGAAATTGTAGCTGGGCTATATTACACATGAGCAACTTTAAAACATTTATAACTAACATGGTTTTTCTCATATCTCAAATTCAAGTCTACCTAACTCCAAACATAGCTGTAACACACTCTCGGGTTGATGATTTCTCTTTAGCCCTAGAGCACAGCGTGGCCACAGGGTATACAAAGTAAATCAAAAGCAGAACTGGAAAAATATTAAACCTGGAAGGAAATACAAGTCTGACACTTCCCATTATGCCAGAAAACAGAATTGTCATTATTTGGAAATGTATCAGGTTGAGCTATATCAAACTGCCAATATACAACTGGTTTTGACCTGCAAAAAATGGAAATTTCGTGTGGTTCAACCCAGTATTATTTTCTAGGCTCATTTTAACAATTGTCTCAGATAAGGTCTTCATAATCCAAGGCATATAAAACCTTCTATTTCTCTAGACTTCCTTAACCTTTTGAAAAGATTTGCCACCCTCTGTCCAAAGCTGATTATTTAAAAAATTAAGCTCCTAAACAGGAAAGCCAAGATAAATAAAATCACCAAACTGCTCAACGTATCCTTCTAAAACCACTTCACATCCTTCCCACCACTCCCCTTTCCAACTAACAGAAGTGAATCTTAAGTAGATCTGCCCTTTAGAAGACCCACATTTAAGAAGAAATTAGTGAATATTTAAGTGCTTTGTATCTTTCTCAGTTATCAGTGATGTAGGAATCTAAGTGTGGTAGAAGCCCATTGCTTTATTATTTTTTTTAATTTACTTATTTTATTTATTTATTTTTGGCTGCGTTGGGTCTTCATTGCTGTGCGCGGGCTTTCTCTAGTTGCAGGAGTGGGGGCTACTCTTCGTTGCGGTGCGCGGGCTTCTCATTGTGGTGGCTTCTAGGTGCGCAGGCTTCAGTAGTTGTGGGTTGCGGGCTCTACAGTGCAGGCTCAGTAGTTGTGGCACGCGGGCTTAGCTGCTCCGCGGCATGTGGGATCTTCCCAGACCAGGGATCAAACCCGTGTCCCCTGCATTGGCAGGCGGATTCTTAACCACTGCACCACCAGGGAAGCCCCAAGCCCATTGCCTTTCACTGGGATTCCACTGACCTAAAAATCTACTGCTGAAGAGTTTTAATTAAGTTGTTACGTTCCATTTCTGTTTTAGAATCTGGCTTCTAATCTTTCTAATCAAGAGGGTGATTACTATCCCAGTGGGATATATTTTTCCATTTCGACATAGCTGATTTATGCACCGACACCAGAAAAAACTCATCACTTTCACAAAAGGGGTTACGGCTTCAAGACTACCTCTAGGTTCAAATCCATCATTTCACACCCACTTTTATTAGTCTAATATCCAATATGCTAATGAACTCTTTTCTCAATTAATTCCACTAATTACTCACCTGTTCTTATTCTGCCCAGACTCCTATCCCCTCATCCGATCCATCAGGCCACATACAACACCTTCCCAGAGGGATGCTTTTCCTAAAACATTTCATAAAATGTTATGGCAGTAGGATATTACCTGTTCTATCTTTGTAGTACAAACTATATCTCGTTTGTACTACAAATCATCAATATTAACCACCAAATGAAATTTGCTCTTAAAAAAGAACAATCAGGAGAGGACTTCCCTGGTGGTGCAGTGGTTAAGAATCTGCCTGCCAATGTAGAGGACATGGGTTCAAGCTCTGGTCTGGGAAGATCCCACATGCCGCCGAGCAACTAAGCCTGTGTGCCACAACTACTGAGCCTGCTCTCTGGAGCCCACGAGACACAACTACTAAGCCTGTGTGCCACAACTACTGAGCCTGCTCTCTGGAGCCCACGAGACACAACTACTGAGCCTGCGTGCCACACTACTGAAGCCCGCACGCCAAGAGCCCGTGCTCTGCAGCAAGAGAAGACACCGCAGTGAGAAACCCGCTCACCGCAACTAGAGAAAGCCCGAGCGCAGCAATGAAGACCCAACACAGCCAAAAATAAATAAATAAATTTATTTTTTTAAAAAATCAGGAGACAATCTCCGGCTCTATCTGGAAATTTCTCTATTCAGCTAGTTCAGTGTTGACAGGTCAACAGAGAATGGCACTAATCATTACTACAATCCTAAAGGGTATTTCCCTAGAGTTAAACCATCAACCCTTTCCTAACATCCAAATGATCCAGACTTTTTACAGCAAAATTTACTCTCCTTGCCCCACTCCCAACAGCATTTTCTGATCATTTTTCACCTTAAACTGAGGTTTTCTCTAGGGCCTCGTGGTGATGTCAAGTCAGGCAAATACATACCTTAAACCTTCCATCTACTCCCTTCTTTCTTGAAAGTTACATATAATAGCTTTTTTTTTTTTGAAAACTCTCTAAGCATCAGGTACAATGATAAGTGCTTTAAAAGGGAATTTATCTACTTCCATCCTTAAAACCCTATGAGGTTAGGATGAGTACCCCCATTTTACAGAGGAGAAAAGGTGAGGCTTAGTAACTTGCTCAAGGTCATAAAGGGCAGGGATTAGAATCCAAATCTGACGTCCATGTCCTCTGACCTTAACCCTCATGCTGTTATTTCCTTCTAATGTTTCTTCACGTCCTAAATGTCTGCTCTATGTTCTGAGACAGCCTATGCTTGGTCAGGGTTCAGTTTCTCCAGGGCTGTCTTTCCTTTGAAGGACACGCCTTTGAGTAGAATGAGTCCCCATTCCACCTTTTCTCCGTGCTCCTTCCCACCTGCACCATTTCCCCAAGGCCCTTGTCATAGCTCCTCCTCTAGGACCAATTTAAATGTCCCCCCCCCCCCCCCCGGCCCCATAGGATACTACTGAAGGGCCGCCTTCTACCCTCAAGGCTAGGAGAGGGCAGAAGTGAAAGAAAGGGGAGAAAGGAAGAGCCCAGACAGCACCCCTTCCCCAAGTCTTCAATCAGAAAGAAACTATGGCTGAGGACCAGAGGGGGGTGGTGAGGATTCGGGGAAGGATAGGAGATAAGGGAGCGGAGATGACAGGGAGTGCCCTTGGGGGTAGGCGGGGCAGGAGGAGGAGACGGAGAGGAGGCGTGGCACGCTCAGGGGTTCATAGACTGAATGGGGGGGTGGACCTCCCTGGGGGGTGGGGGATGCCACCCTGCTAGGAAAGGGATCTGGCCACTTGGAAGAGAATGTGTGTGTTGGGGAGGAGGATCTGAAGGTGGATGTAACAAGGGAAAGTCGAGGGAAGAAAGGGTAGGAGGGAGAGCAGGAAACGGTGGAGTCACCAGGGAGGAGAGAGGGGAAGGATGGATGGGAACCGGGAAGGTGGGACTCCTGGAGACCCCAGCACAGGGGCTCCGCTAGGAGGGGAGGGCGGGCCGCGGAGGTTCGGGGGCCGCGGAATGCCCGGAACCGGGGCTGGAGGAGACCCCGGAGGAGGGAGAGCGGCAGTTCTCGAGCCGAGGAGCGTTAAGTGGGGGTTCTAGGGAAGCCAGGGCAAGAAAGGGGGCATCCCAGCGCGCGCGCGCGCGCGCGTGTGTGTGTGTGTGTATGTGAAGGCATGGTCGGGCTCCCGCGGGGAAGGGGTTAAAGGAGGGCAGGGGGTGGGCGGGAGGCTGGC